GTAAAGTGCAGGGCTGGATTGGCCCTGAGATGCCCAGAGGTCAGGACATCAGTGAACACAGGCCAGCTTCCCAAGACAAGAAACTGCCAAGTGAGGCTTGTCTCCTCTTTTTGTTTTTTTTTTTTAATCCTCACCCGAGGACATTATTGCATTTTTTGTTCAGACAGAGCGGGAGGGAGAGAGAGGAAGAGAGAGAGAGAGAGAGAAACATCAATGTGAAAGGGACACATCGAGTGGTTGCCACCCACACGACCAACCAGGGCCAGGGACAAACTGCAACCGAGGTACGTGCCCTTAGCGGGAACCGAACCCAGGTCTCTCTGTACCGCAGACCGACGCTCCAACCCAACCGCTGAGCCAAACTGGCCAGGGCTGTCTCCACTTTTTGTATTGGGGGCCCATCATGAATGCTCTATGAGGGGGTGGGCACTTCAGCCAGAACCGAGCACATTAGTTCTGACCCTCACCACCCTGCCCACACTTGGTTGTGGGTGTACCTTTCTGAGCATGGAGCTGAGTGGGGTGCAGGAGAAGGGTATGGGGGAGGTCTTGGTGGTGGAGGATGCTGTCCAGGGCCTGCCTAGGTGCAGCCCACAGAGGCAGCCTTTCAGGGTGCTGCTAGTTTGCACTGATGAGCCTCCTTCCCTTCCCTGGGTGTCAGTTGCCTAGTGTGGTAGGGAGGCCGGCTCCAGCTAGAGCTCCCCAGAAACGTTGCTGCTGAAGGGGCGGGGGCTGTGGGTGTGGGCCAGGCGGCCCCGCCCCCCAGGCAACCACCCTCTGTGTGGTGGATTGATTGGTCCTCTGCGCATTAGCGGGAGTTAGCTAAGACGCCTCATCAATATTTTAAGGAATGACCTGGCCTTGGGATCCGGAACTGCGTGCTGCGGGGGTTGACAACTGGTCTTCTTTTTCTTTCCAATTGTCAGCGCTATTTTTACCACCGGAAGGCCAGCCGCCCCCTCTCCCAGGCCTCTACTTGTGTTGAGTCCGGGTGGGGGAGGGTCTTCTGTCTGGGTTCCCGTCTGAAGGGTTAGGAGAGTCCATGGCTTGGAAAGGTGACAGAGACTCTATTAGGATCCCCCACCCCACCTCCCTGAAGCCCCATCCCATCCTGCTCCAGCCCTACTGAGATGGGGGGGAAAAACATGTTTCCAGGAGGAGAAGCCAGAAAACCCAGCTGAGCCTGAAAAACAAAACAAAAAAACCATGGGTGATGATTGAGGGAGGGTGGTCTGCCCACCCAAGGGCCCTGGGGAGCCAGCACCTGATGCCCAGCCCCAGTCCTCAAAGAAGCCTGTGAAGGTAAGAGGCAGCCCCCCTGCCTGCCCCTGATCCAAGTGGAGTGACAAAAGGGCCCAGTCAAAAATGTCCAAGGGCCATCACAGTCAGGGGTCCCTAGAGGCTACTGTTCCAGCACCCCATTTTATTGATGAAAAGCCGAGGCCTGGTGAGACCCAAGGGCTGGGCCAAGATGGAGCCCACATCTCCCTTTGCCCCATCCTCACTGCCCTGCCCTGACTCACAGGTCTTTTCTGGCTCCCTGGGGCCAGGAGGATGCACTCACCCAGAGAACAGTGGGGTCAGGCCTTGAGTCCGGGTCAACCAAGGTCCCTGCACTGTCCCACCTCAGTTCTGGCCCACAGCCTTGCCCTTGCCCTTCTGGGTCTGAGCCCTCTTCCATGTGACCTGCAGCCTCCCCTTTGCAGAGAGGCATGTCTGGGCCCCAGTCTCCCCATCTCTAAGTATGGGGCTCCCTGCTGACCCTGCTGCTTATGACTTTTATCTTTGGCTGCTCAAACCCTGTCACTTCTGTGTAGTGTGGCTGGACCCAGGGGACACTGGGGCTGCTGTGCTGGGCATCAGGCCTATAGACTGCTGGCCGGCCAGCAAGGGTGGATGGGGAAGGTCAAGACAGGACCATCCTCCCAGTGCCTCCCAAGCCAGTCCTTGCCTAGGACATGGCCACACCCACCATATCCTTTGCAGATTCCTCTCTGAAGGCCACCCCTAACTCCAGTGAAGGCAAGCTGGGGGCCCCCTGTGAGAGCCTCTCCCCAGGGCCCTGTCTCTCTACTCTGCCCTTTCTTGCCAAGAATGCTGTCAGCCAGCAGGAAGGGCAGAGAGGAACAGGGATTAATGTCAGAGGATGGGGAACTGAAACTGACTTTCTCCCTGTCCCCACCTACCCCATTTGGAAGCAAAATTATGTCAAACAAGGGCATCAACACTTGATGCTGGCTCCAGTGCTAGTCCTTCCGAGGTTGCCATGTCACCCAATCTGATCTGCCTGGTGGTCTCAGTGGTACGGGGTATGGGGAGGTGGCCACTTTGGGGAACACTGCCCTGCTGGGTAAAATGGATAGGCTTGGAGCATGGGGACTGGCCCTCATAGACTCAGCTGCAGGACTTCCTCCCCACTTCCATCCTCTAAAGTGCCCCCCTCCACAGGGCAGGTTGAAGCCTTAGTTGTCCTCCTCTGGAGGCCTTGGTGGTGGTAACAGGTGCAATTCTGCTTCTACTTCCATTACTGACATGACTCAGGCCTGCCTTCTGCCCCCAAAGAGTGCCTATACCAGATCGGGGGAGAGACATGGAAACATATATGGAGCACCCTGCAATTTGTACCTTGCTAGAGGGACTGTGGGAGCTCAGAGGAGACACTCATGCCCCCTGGCAGGGGAGGCAGGGGGAGGTCAGGGAAGCCTTCCTGGAAGAAGTGGCCATGGATTAGTTATGGAAGGATAAGTAGGATTTAGCCAGATGAAGAAAGGAAAAAGAGCAGGGCGTTAAAGGGGCTTAGCATGAGCCAAGCTCATAGGTGCCTCAGCCCCCATTCTCCTCAACCCCTCCCCCCATGTCCTGATAAATCCGCCTCCAAGGTATTGCTCAGGCCTATAGGGAAAGTGCTGTTCTTCCTCTTCGAGGCATGAAACCCTAGGTAGGCCTCACCTCCTCCAGGAAATCTTCCTAGCTCCCTATTGCCCTCTCCCGCAATACCAGAGCAGGAGACCTGCTGGTTTGGGAAACTGTCCTCTGTGCTAAGTGGCCTGTTTTCTCCCTGGGGCTGTCCTGTGGTTATTGACTGCAGATCGATGGCGGAGGTTGCCCCAAGGTGAGAGGGAATTCCCAGTGTCCTATGGCCCAGAGGCCCTGCACATGATCTCACAGAAGTGGGGCAGCTATTTTTACCTGCTTTAATTACAGAGTTTGGATCCTAGAGGAGAGATGACATGGTACTCCCAACAGCCACGAGGGCCATGGCAGGAAATGTGGGATCCTGAGATGGCAGCTGAGTGCATGACCTTCTGCCTCAGTTCCCCTAACACTGGGCTGGTCCCCTCAGATGGGCTCCCCATGGCAGGGCAGGACCACATCACCCCTTATTCCCCACGGGTAAATTCACCCTAGCCTTGGGAGAGGGTTGCATAAACACTGGGCTGTTCCAGGGGTGATGACCACATTGGAAGACAAGGAGGCAAAGCCCCCAAATACCCAGTAGTTTGGCAATCCAAAGTGATGAGGGCTGGGGGCGGGGGCTGGGAATAAGGAGTAGGAAGCTGGGGTGAGGAGACAGCTAGGATTCCTGGATTGGGGCCGGATTTGGATGGGCACTCTGGAGGGAACAGGACTCCAGGAGGTGGGAACACAAATGCAGCGTGCAGGCCACTGTGATGGAAAGAAGTCTGAGGAGGCAGTGCTTTCAATGCCAGTATGAAAAATTAGTCATACTTGATCCACACTAGGAGGTGACCCCAAGTCCTAGAGTCAGGGTGAGAATCCCAGGCCTGTCATTAACAAGCTGTGTGACCCCAGGCCCCAGCTTAGGTGGTGACAGCTGTGACATGCCCAGTATGCCAAACATATTCATTTGTTCATTTATTCATTGTTTACAAGGTTCCTGCCATGTGCCAAGCACTGGGGACACAGCCCCTTATGAGAATTGAAATACCCGTCTTGTGGAGCTGGCATTCTCAGGGGGAGGGGAGGAAGGGGAGAAAACAACCAAGCAAGTGGGTAAGTGGTATGTCAGATGGGGGCAAATGCTATGGAGGAAAGTTAGCGGGCAAAGGGCAGGAGAAGCCAGCGGCTGGGTGGAGTGGGAGCATTTCTTATTCTCAGTAGGGTAGTAGTCAGGGAAGGCTATCAGGGAGATAGTAGTGGAGCAGAAACCTGAAGGAAGTGAGAGAATGTGAAGGATAGAACATTCCAGGGAAGTGCGAAGGTCCTGCGGTAGAAATATGACTGGTATGCTCTCACAATGACGAGGAGGCAGTTGCGGCCAGAGCCGAATGGGCAAGAAGAGTGGCAGGAGGTTAGCTCAGAGAGGTAAACGGAGGCAGATCATGTGAGGCCTTTGGGGCCAGGGGTAGGACTTTGGCTTTTACTCTGAGTGTAATGGGAGCCATTGCAGGATTTTGAGCAGAGGAGGGACCTGATCTGTCTTATGTTTTAGAAATGATGATTCAGTTCCTGGGTGGAGAACAGACTACAGGGTGAGGTCAGCTTCTGGAGAACCAGTGAAGAGACTACTAAGGTTACGTGGGTCCCCAGATGGCAATGAGTGGAGGAGACGTTGGGTTCCTGGCATATTTCTAAAGTAGAGCCCAGAGGATTGCATGTGACTTCATGTCCACCGGGCCTTGGGGCCCTCAGAAGAGGTTACTTAGGGAAGTGAGGCTCATGGGGACCTCACTTCAAGGCATCTTTCATCCCAGCCTCCATTTGCTGCCCCCCAGAATTACCTTGGGGTTCTCTGACTGAGGCTGCTCTTTGAAGAGACAGTGAATGGGGGCTCCCCTCCTGCAAACACTGCCTCCTACCTCCCTGGTCCTCTTCACACGTGCTACTCAGAAAGGCTGCATTTTGCAGAACTGCCCCTCCATCCCGAACACACAGAACCACATAACCCCAGGGAGCCCTGGGGGAGCAGGGCCAGAGAGGGGACAGGTGGGCGCTCTGGTCAGAGGTCACAAAGTTACCGCAAGCTGTTCTTACCGCAGCTGCAGAGGGCTGCAATGGGACGGAAGCCATGAATGGTGCCGCCTCCGGCCCCGCCACCGCCGCCACCCCGGTCCCGGACTGGCGGCAGTTCTGCGAGCTGCATGCGCAGGCGGCCGCCGTGGACTTCGCGCACAAGTTCTGCCGCTTCCTGCGGGACAACCCAGCCTACGACACACCGGACGCCGGGGCCTCCTTCTCCCGCCACTTCGCCGCCAACTTCCTGGACGTCTTCAGCGAGGAGGTGCGCCGCGTGCTGGTGGCCCAGGTGGCCGAACACCCCGACGCCATGGAGCCCGAGCCAGCGGTGCTCAAAGCGGCGTCCTGCGGCCACTCGCGGAGCTCGGAGGACGTGTCAGCAGCGCACGCGGTAGCCAAGGCCCGTGTCCGCAAGGGCTTCTCCCTGCGCAACATGAGCCTGTGCGTGGTGGATGGCATGCGTGACATGTGGCACCGGCGTGCCTCTCCCGAGCCCGATGCCACCCCACGGGCCACCGAGTCCCTGGCCGAGCCACGTGACAAGTGGACAAGGCGCTTGCGGCTGTCGCGGACGCTGGCATCCAAGGTGGAGCTGGTGGACATCCAACGCGAGGGCGCACTGCGATTCATGGTGGCAGACGATGCAGCCACGGGCCCAGGTGGCACTGCCCAGTGGCAGAAGTGCCGCCTGCTCCTGCGCAGGGCTGTGGCAGGCGAGCGCTTCCGCCTGGAGTTCTTCGTGCCACCCAAGGTGAGCGCCAATCCCCACCTGAAGGATTGTGGAGTGCTGTGGGCGCAACCAGTGGCTGGCTTTGGCATTACCTGGTCTGGTTGGCAGGGTGGTGTACTGTCAGGATCCTGGGGTGTGGGCCCACTCTGCCTCTCTCACAAGTCACCCCTCAAGGCCTCCCTGCACCTGTGAGGTGTCAGAAAGGCTCTCTGGCTACAGGACAGGTCTGGGGTACTGTTCTTTGTGGTGTTGGAAAACCTCATCTCCCTACCCACTCTCTTCCTTGTCTGGGACCCCTCGGTGGCTGGAGCCTCCCAGGGAGGAGGCCTTCAGGAGTGAGGGCGGGGAATGACAGTGGCACGCTCTGAGGGGGCTCCTTGGAGGTTTGCATCTATTCTGGTGGAAATCTGTGAATCCTCAGTTTGGCTGCCAGGCTGCAGCTTAACTCCTGCCCAGGTGGCCATTTTTTGGCCTGGGTTTCAAAAGCTAAGCTCTAGCCCTGGCCAGTTTGCTTAGTGGTTAGAGCATCCGCCCACAGACCAGTCATGGGTTCAATTCCAGTCAAGGGCACGTACATCGGTTGCAGCTCGTCCACGGTCAGGGTCGTACAGGAGGCAACCAATCAATGTGTCTCTCTCACATCACTGTTTCTCTCTGTCTGTCTGTCTCTCTCTCTCTCTCTCTTTCTTCCTCCCTCCTTCCCTCCCACTCTATCTGAAGATAAATGGGAAAATATCCTCGGGTGAGGATTAAAAAAAGCTACGCTCTAGCTGTCAGCAGCGTTGCTGCTCACCTGAGACACTGTCCTCTCCCCACTCTTGGAGGCTCGCCGAAAGAGCCCTGGGCACAGCTTTGGGTTTCCTCCAGGGACGCAAACCTGTGGGGTTTGGAAAGGGAATAACTGTAACAATAGTGCCCGTTTCCTGAGAGCCCACTGTGTGCCTAGCCTGGTGGGAGTCGCAAATTCCTTTTACTCCAGTAAGGGTGGGCCTCATAGTCTCAAGGTCACAGAAAAGAAAATGAGTACTTGGGGGGTGGGGTTGGCCTGCCCGAAGTCACACAGCTTGTGGGTGGCAGAGCTGGGCTAATTATACCTACCACCCTGGTGGTCGCGGAACGAAAGGAACATGGAGGTGGGAGCTCCTTGTGTACTGGGAGGCTCAGAACGGGGGGAGGTTGTGCTGGAGCAGCAGCCAGCGGCACCCCCAAGAACCACCCAGGGCTGCCACCTACCTCTGGGCCCACTCTATCCTTAGTGTCTTTAGTCAACTGAGTCTCTCACCTCTATCCCCATCTCCCAGTGTGTCAGAATTGTGGGTTCCACTGGAGGGGCAGGGTGTGAACTACCCAGGGCTGGGTGCCCATGAGCCACATGACAAGTGATATCCTCACTGTCTGAAGAGCTTTCTCTCTGAGTCCTGGGCCACACCCCAGACTTCCCAAGGGCTATTTGCTTAGTTCCTGGAGAGAAATCATAGACCTCGAAGCCCAACTCCACCCTTGATCAGACAAGGAGACTGAGGCCCACTAAGGGGTGGGAATTGAGGTGGAGCTCCCCCAGGGTCACCTAAGGGGCAGAGGCAGAGGCCTGAGTGGCAGTCACAGGTGCCCCGCTGTAAATAGCAGCGGCTGCTGCCTTCTGGGGCAGAGGATGCAGCAGCTGGCGCCTTCTTGGTTATCCCTCTGAGCCCACCATTCACCACTGGCAGGGGGCATGGTTCCTGAGGGGTCACGTCTCCAACCTCGGAGGAAGGCAGGTTGTTTCCTACCCTACCCCCCATTCTGGCCTCCAGCCCTTCATTTTAGGAAGATAGATCATACCATGGTAAGGGCTTAAGTCTGTTTTCCCAAATGTATGCCCCAGGGAGACCCTGCTGATATGCCCCACTGATGTGTCCTGGAGACCTAGCTGCATCCCTGGAGCGGACAGAAGCTCAGATTCCACAGGCTTGGGGGCTGTTTTCTGGGATCCTCCAACTTTCCTCTCACACAGCCCCATGAGTCAGGTCTCTGGCCTCCTGTCCCCTCACAGCCCTTTGCCAGGCCAGCCCTGGGGACCCAGGGAACAGTGAGGCTAGCCCCTGCCATTGTGGGAGCCAGCAGGTGACCGGTGTTTGCAGGACTGGATGGTAAACCTCAATGGGGTGAGCACTGGGCACTTCAGGGGCCCCAAGGAGGCGAAACTCGGGCTGCATGAGTGTTCACCAGGCAGCAGGGTTCCAGGGTAGGCATTTCTGCAGGCACAGGCTGAGTAAGCGAAGGTCTGGAGCCATGAAACAGCCCGATGGCTCTGTCCAGGGAACAGTGAGATGTGGCCTGAGCAGGGTGGAAGGCAACTGGGCCAGAACAGATAGGCCTCAAATGCCAGGCGGAGGAATCAGCACCTCCAGCCAGTGGGAGCCCAGCCGGAGTCACCAGTCTAGGCCTTCACTGCTGACCTCTGTCTGTTCCACCCACTCCAGAACAGGGGGCCTTACCCAGTGGCTGGTCAGTGCCCTTCCATGGCCAGCCTAGCCCCTCCATCACTACCCCAAGCCCTGCCCTGCACTCTGGATGACAGCCAGCGCTGCCAGGAATTCCCATTTGCCTGCCCACCCAATGCGTAGCCCTCCCCCTTCCTCCTGAGAAAGTCCCTGTCCTGGAGCCCAAGCCCTGCCAGGAATCTCAGTCTCAGGCCAGCCTCAGGGGGCCTTCAGGTCGAGGCCAGGAGCTTTGGGGCAAAGCCAGGAGGACCAAGCACAGAGCAGCCCTCCCTGGGAGTCCTGCCAGCTCACCTTGGTTGACCCCCACACTGGTCCCTTTTCCTGCACCGGGAGACACAGCCTGCTCACTTCCAGGAACCCTGGCTGAGTCAGGGGCTCCAGAGCCGTGCTCTGGAAAGTCTAGTTGGAGGGAGGAGACCAGCACTTTTTAAAAAAATGAACTCGGGCCCTGGCCAATTTGGCTCAGTGGTTAGAGCGTCAGCCTGCGGTCCGGAGAGACCCGGGTTCGGTTCCCGCTAAGGGCACGTACCTGGGTTGCAGTTTGTCCCCGGCCCTGGCTGGTCATGCGGGTGACAGCCACTCGATGTGTCTCTTTCACGTCAATGTTTCTCTCTCTCTCTCTCTTCCTCTCTCTCCCTCCCACTCTATCTGAACAAAAAAAAAAAAAAAAAAGGAAAAATGTCCTTGGGTGAGGATAAAAAAAAATGAACTTGGGTAAAATAGAAAATAGTGCGCTCCATTATACACAGTCAGGGTAAATAATGTCTGCTGAAACGTTTATTTCAGAGATATTTTTACTTGTGTGTGTGCTAGGTTGCAGTGTCAAATGTATTTCTTACTATGGGTCAAGGTCAAAAATGTAAAAACCATAGACCTGATGGGTGCAATGGGCAGAAGGGCAGCCCAGGTGCTGTTCACCCTGCAGGGCTCAAAAGTGGGAGACTCAGACGTCAGTCCCAGCCCTGTCCCTGGCTGGCTGTGTGACTATATGGGGAGGTCCCTTTGTTTCCAGAGACTCCCTCAACTTACCTGTCTGTGAAATGGGGATTGGAACATCTCTGTGCCAGGGCTGCGACAGCACTCTATGCTGAGGGCTGCCCTGACCTCCAGGAGGCGGGGAGCATAGAGAGGGTTGCGGGAGGGAGGCCCTGTGGTGATCCTCACTCCCCCTTCCTCTGGCCTCCCAGGCCTCCAGGCCCAAGGTCAGCATCCCTCTCTCAGCCATCATCGAAGTCCGCACCACCATGCCCCTGGAGATGCCGGAGAAGGACAACACATTTGTGCTCAAGGTGAGTCTCCCCACTGGCCCCACAGATCCTCCGGCTGCCCCCAGGCCACCTCCCTCATGGGCAGCACAGCTTGAGGCCACTGCAGGGGGAGGGATCCCTGGTTGGGGTGGAGGATCTTAGGACCCTACACAGATGCCAAACACCTAGCTAGGACTTGAATCCAGGCCTGGGCTCTAGGGCTGAGTGCCCGGGTCTCACCCACCATCTGGGGCCCCTGTTCTTGTTTCCTCCTGGGCCTAGGTGAAGCTCCTCTGAGTTTCACTTCCTCCCTCCCCCTCCCCCGCTGGAGCCAGCACAGACCCACCCCATGGGCAGGCAAACTGGTAGCCAGACTGTAGCAGTTATACAAATGCCCCTGTGGCAGAGCACTGGAGTGTGGGAACTAAGGGTGGGCAGGGAGGCACCTGGTATGACTGGGGACAGCTTGTCCTCCCAGGACCCACTGGGGTGGCCTGTTCAACTTGCCTTGTGCCTCCTCAGTGGATTAGAGGATGTTTGTGAGGCCAAGTCCCCGAGGAGACCTGATTCCACCCACCTGAAGCTGCATGGAGCAGCCCCCCCACCTCCTCCAGGCTCCTGATTGGGCTTATGCTTTTGTTCTCCCCTGTTTGTTCAGTCACGAACTCCCTTATTCACTTAGCAAACATTTGCCAGGCCCCTACCCTGAGTCACCCCAGGCTGGGGGCTGAGGACACAGCCCCTCCCTGCCCAGCATTCTCATCTGCTGGGTGAGACAGGTCCAGAGCCTGTCACCTGACGGCTGAGGGGCCACCATGCTGCTGATTATGCTCAGAAGCCCTGAGCCTGAACAGCTCACCTGCCAGCCCACCTTGGTTCTGTTTCCCCATCTATTCAGAGAGGGGTTGAAGGTGGTCTCCGAGAACCCTCCCAGCTCTGAGATGCTGGGAGGCCAGCCACTGCACTGTGAGTGAGGCACACACCAGAAGGCTGAGAGCACGCAGCCTCGGCCCCGGAGACCTGGGCTCACGTCCCCGCACTGCCACAGAGTGCTTGTGGGACTTGAAGCAAGTTACCTGCCCTCTCTGGAGCTCAGTCTGTACAGTGGGGAAAGCATATTGCCTCGCTCCCAGGCCCGTAGGGACGAGTTCACCAGGTAACGTATGTGCGGGGTGGCGCTGCGGGCCTGGCCCACGCGAGAGCTCTCCCTCCTCCCTTCCCCCTGCGGAGGCTGCTGAACCGGGGGGATGGCCTCAGAGGCACAGTTACAGGCACTGAGGCAGGTGGGCCCCTCAGCGCAGTGTGCTGAGCCAGCTGGCCCCTTGGCTGACTTGAGGGTTGTGAGGTCTCTTCACCCCATCTCCAGGGTGCCAGCCCACCCTTCCCCAGGCAGCATGGCCTCTGAGGCTGCATCCCCAGGGCCCGAGGTCAGCAGCGCTGAGCACCCTCTCCGGTCACCCCCGTGGTGGACCCAGAGGAAGGGGCTGCTGAGACTGTGGGGGAGGCTTTTCCCCAGGACCTTGGCCCAGGTTTGGGGTGGTGCTTGATGGTGGCCCCACTGTCTTCCCTGCTGCTCACACTAGTGAGCCACCGTGGGGAAGGGGTAGGATGAGCCATTTGTCCTGGGGTCTAGAGCCCCCTGCTGAGGTGGGAGGTTAGGGCACTGGCTACCATCTGGACTCCCGGCGCCCCTTCCCCAGGTGGAGAATGGAGCCGAGTACATCCTGGAGACCATCGACTCACTGCAGAAGCACTCGTGGGTGGCTGACATCCAGGGCTGCGTGGACCCGGGGTGAGTGCCCACGTGGCCCGAGGATAGGTGGACAGCGTAGGGGTAGCTCTCGGGTGCTGAGCTCCAGAAGTGGGTTTTTCTCATGGCAGTGCTATCCGGGTTGCTGCTGGCCACTCATCCAGGCCCCCACCTCCACCCTTACCCCCAACAGGCTTTTCGAGGTCTGCTCTGCAGGGCCAGGGCCTGGGGATGGAGAAGGAAGGTGGGTCAAGTCTTCTTCTCTCCCCAGGGGAGCCTGAGACCACTAGGAGAAGGGCACTGATGGGGGAGGTGACCCAAAGGTACAAGGGTGGGGGCTGGAGGGGAGGTCCCTGATGTGGCCTGGGGCTCAGAGGAAGCGTGCTGGCAGAGGTGCTCATCATCCCTGAGGCTGAAAGAAGGAGTGGGCCTGAGCCAGGCAGAGGAGGCTGGGGCACAGGAGGGCAGAGAACAGCCCTGCAGAAAGTGTGGAGCTGTGTGTGAGCCTGGGACTCGCAGGGAACATCAAGGCCTTCAGGTAGTTAGAAGTAGAGCTGGTGAGGAGGGACTTTGATGAGAGCCTGGGAAGCTAAGTGAGGGGCAGTGGGGAGCCATGGCTGGTAGTAAGCAGAGGACAGCTTCGGTCAGATGTGTGTAGGAAGAGCAGCAGGGAGACTGGCCGCACCATCCAGGGCAGATTCCGACGCCAGGAGCAGGAGGGGCAGGCAGACCAGCCGGAGAGCATTTGGCAACAGCTCTTCTGGCTAATGGGGTGAGCCAAGCCCCAGGGGGAGGGGCTGCTGCTTTCTAATTAACAGCTTCATTTAAGGAAGCACAATTAAAGTCCTGAGTACCGCCCAGCCCCCTCAACCCCCCACGATCCCCAAAGTGGTTATAATCCATCCCCTGCCACCCTTCCAACCATCTGCTCTGCAGACTCCTTCCCCAGACCCTCTGAAGGTGAGCCTTGCAGTATGTTAGAGCTGGCACGATCCCAGACACCTTGGGTCACAGATGGGCAGACAAAGGCCCAAGGCAGGGAAGGGAGCTGCCCAGACCCTGCCCAGACCCTGCCCACTGCCATTCCCTGCCACCCTTTGTGAGATGCCATGGGGTCCCAGGAGGAGGCCAGCCCTTTGTGGGTTAGTGGGCAGGGGTCATATGACCTCAAGAAGGACTGCACTCACCTGGAGACCTCTCTTATATGTCCCAGTCACACATGGTGGCCACAGAGCAAGCTGAGGGTGTGACAGAGGGGCATGGAGGCACAGGGACCTCGGGTGAGCCACTGCCCAGTTCATTGAGCAGCCCATGGTTCAAATCCCAGGCAGAACAGCTTATGCTTTCTTGCCTTCGCAGGGACAGCGAGGAAGACACAGAGCTCTCCTGTGCACGGGGAGGCTGCCTGGCCAGCCGCGTGGCCTCCTGCAGCTGTGAGCTCCTCACGGAGGGTAGGTGGCGGCAGAGCTGGCTGGAGCAGTGGAGGGCAGGATTGGAGGGGTGCTCACTCCCGGGTGGCCAGACAGACAGACGTGTTTTCTACTCCAACAGTGGACCTGCCCCGGCCCCCCGAGACGACAGCAGCCGTGGTGACAGCCCCACACAGCCGAGCTCGAGATGTCATCAGCGAGTCCCTGGTCCATGTCCCACTGGAGACCTTCCTGGAGACCCTGGACTCCCCGGGCGGCAGCGGTGGTGACAGCAATAACACAGGTGCAGTGGGCCTGCTCCCGGCCCCTCCTTCCTACACCCCCAGCCGAGGCCACAGGCTCCCTTCGAAGCCCTTCCTGAGCCCCAGAGGCTGTGACATTTCATCCCACCTGGTCCTCTGCACAGCAGCTCAGAATTGTAGCTTCTGTGGGCCAGTGGGGAACGTGACTCTCCCACAGGCCCTGGGTTCCATAGAAAATGCTCCCAGAAGTGGTGCGAAGGGTCAGAACCAGGGCTGAGGGACAAGGAGATGCGATGTGTTCCCACGTGTGTTGCTGACTTAGAGACTACCCCAGGTAGTCTTTCTCCTCTCTGTGCCTCAGTTGACCTCATATGCTTAACTAGCCTTGTTCTAGAACTACCCAACAGCATTTCACATGTAAAAACCCAATGAGATGTTGCATCTCTTCTCTCATGTATTTGCCCCCCACACACCCCTCACTCTGTCACCCTCTACAGGGGAGGAGGGCTCAGAGCCAGAGCCCGAGGTGGCCCCTGGGCTGGAGCTGTCCGACTACCCCTGGTTCCACGGGACACTGTCGAGGGTCAAGGCAGCTCAGCTGGTGCTGGCAGGCGGGCCCCGGAGCCATGGCCTCTTCGTGATCCGCCAGAGTGAGACTCGGCCTGGGGAGTATGTACTGACTTTCAACTTCCAAGGCAAGGCCAAGGCAAGTGTGCAGAGGGAACATGGGGCATAGCAGCCAACCCTGGGGGAGGGGGCCAAGGTGGCTCTGGTCCTGAGGCTGCACCCACGCCCCAGGAGCAGGTTCTGTGGGTGTCGGTGTGGCATGACTCTCCATGGGCCAGGCCTACCCCTGGCCATGCTCCTTGAACCCCCGGACCCCTCCCACACCTCTCTGAAGTGCTGCAAGTCTGCCCCAGATGTGGCTTCTCCATTGTCCAGATGGGGAGGTCCCCTCGTGGTAGCTGAGCACTCAGGAGATCCAGGCCCTTCTGAGGACTCACCTTTGACCCTGTGTATTAGGGATCATGTCGCACTGGGGCTGCTGAGGGTCTGTACCAAGAGCCAACTCAGTGCGGGGCTGGGGTCCACCAAGGCCCTCCTGCCCCACCCACTCCCAGGCAGCGCCTCCTCAGAACAGTTCACCACCCCTTCCTGAGCCCCAGGCCAAGGGACATGGAAGGGAACCACACACAGGTGGCCCGAGAGGACCAAACGCGAGGAGGAGCTGGGCCAGGCAGGAGGGCTGTGCTGGGGCCAGAGGGCCGGGAAGGCTCCTGACCCTACCAGCCAGAGTGGGAGCAGACCGTGGCCTGAGCTGCGCAGTGGAGGGAGAACGCTTAGGGCGAAGTGGGAAGGGTGGTCCAGAGGGCACGGCAAGGTGTGACTGCGCCCAGAGAGCGGACTCGTGAGGAAGGGCACTGTGTGCCACCGTGAAGACCTAAGGTGCAAAGGAAAACATGTCTGAGAAGTCAAGTGACTTGGGGGGTTACCGTGTGACCAGGTGGGCAGGAACCTCAACCCCCCTCCCCAATCCTGACTTTCTGATAAGGAAACAGACCCAGGCCTGGGTCCTCCCAGGACATGGTTCCTGTCAGTACCTGCTGGAGGAGGGGGCACCCCAGCCCTCCTGCTCCAGGCCTACACTAGTGGTCAGTGTCCTAACCCCCAGCCGGCCCGGGGCAAGCCCTCCCCTGGCTCCACTTCCACACCCACCCCGTTCCACCAGAGCGAGCCTGGGCCTGTGTCCTTGGCCGTGTTGTCACTTTGTGGAGGAGGCAGCACCTCCCCAGGGACACCTCCTTGGAAAGCAGCCGCCCTTACCAGTTCCTCTGACAACCAGGCACTTAATGCCATCCTGGCAGCCCCGAGTTTACTTCTTGGCCAGCACCGCCCCAGGCAGCCTCCCTGAAGGGCCTGGATCTGACTCATGCCCAAGCCAGAGGCTAGAATGGTGCCCAGTCGACCCGAGAACATGGGCTCAGAAGCGGGGAGGAAATAGAGCTGGACGCTCCTCTCCTTCCAGGGGAAAGACCCTGCACTGAACTCACACCAGCTCCTGCCCCGTCAGAGCAGGTGGCTGCAGGGTGAGATAAGTTAGTGGTGGGGTACAGCAGGACCTCCGGTCTCCCGCTTGCACTCCCCCTGGGAAGGAGGGTGTCTGCCCTCCGAGGCAGCTCTTCACCTTCAGATAAATGTCAGAAAGGGTTTCCCAAAGACTGAGATGCACCCACCCTGCTTCGGGCCCTGCTCTGGGCCTCTGCCCCCAAAGGCCCTGCCCAGGTTTGAGGCAGTTCCTCTGGGGCTGAGGCCCTGCCCTGGAGATCATTAATGCTTCCCAGGTTTGCTCACACTGTTCTGGCAACTTCTGGCCCTGCTGATTGGCAGAATTCACTTATGGAAGCACCCCCTAACACCCTACCCACTGTCCTTTATGTAGGTGACTAGGCCAGCACCCTGTCCTGGGCTTGAGGCCACGTGCATACCCCGAAACCTTCCTTTCTCCTCCCCTCTTGCCATACACACCCCAGCACCCCCACTCTTCCTCCTGCGGGATGCATATTGAACAAGATAAGTCTGGAGCCAGAGCCCTGTGGCTCCTCTCCCTGGAGCACTGCCCCGGGTGGGCCCTGGAGGCACCAGCCTGGTCCCCAAGCTCCAGGTGCTCCGACTGCGGCACAGCTGAGAAGCACCTGCAGTCAGTCCCTGCCAGCCAGCCTCAGGGTGGTTTCCAGCCCTCTAGGCTTTGGCCTGTGGGGACAGCAGGGTGGGAGAATCACACGAACATGAGTCTGTGCCATGTAACTTTGGGTGAGTCACTCCCTCCCTCTGCCTCAGTTTCCCCCATCTCTAATACGGAGGCTGTAATCTCTATCTTCTAGGGCTTTTAGAGACTAGAGATGGGGAATGTGAGGAGTATGATGTGGGTGCTACCAACACAGGGACAAATGTCTGCTCCCTTCAGTTCCAGCCTGGCTCTGCCCACTCATTCCCAACCCCCACCACAGGAGTGACTCCCCCACCCACCCAGAGATGGGGCTCATATGTTAGGAGCCATCTCTGACACAGCCTCATGTGGCCTCTCTGAGACTTTGTCCTCCCAATGACACCAAAAGGCACTTTCCAGCCCAGGACCCCACCACTGACAACTTGTGCTGATCTGTGCCCACAGCACCTGCGTCTGTCCCTGAATGGCCATGGGCAGTGCCACGTACAGCACCTGTGGTTCCAGTCGGTGCTTGACATGCTGCGCCACTTCCATACCCACCCTATTCCACTGGAGTCAGGGGGCTCCGCAGATATCACCCTGCGCAGCTATGTGCGGGCGCAAGGCCCCCCACCTGGTAAGACGCCCCACCGGGCAGGTGTAAAGGCTCAAGAAAGCAGACAGGCGGGCAGTGGGAGGAAGGAGTCACTTTCAGGCCACATCCCAGCGTAGCCAGCTCTAGTGGGATGAGGGCCAGAACTTGGGTAGCTGTAATGGGGGGGGAGGGGGGCAGGCCCACCCAGCCCCGCCCGAGTGATTCCTGCAGGGAGGAGGGTGCTCAGGGGCAGCACCGGGCATTCCGTAGGCACAGATGGACTGATCCCAGGCCACTCCCTCTGGGTCTCTGGTCCCAGTCTGACTCTGGGACTGAGAAGGTGGGGACTAGGACTCAGGCCGGCACTGACGCGCCGTGTCCTGTTGCAGACCCCGGGCCCTCGCCCAGCGCCGCGCCCGCGCCCCCCGCCTGCTGGAGCGAGCCGGCCGGCCAGCACTACTTCTCCAGCCTCGCCGCCGCCTGTCCGCCCGCCTCGCCCTCGGAGGCCGGCGGCGCCTCGTCGTCTTCCGCCTCGTCGTCCTCGGCTGCGTCCCTGCCCGCCGCCCCGCGCGCCGCCGAGGGCCTGCTGAGCGCTCGCAGCCGCAGCAACAGCGCCGAGCGGCTGCTGGAGGCGGCGGGCGGTGCGGACGAGCCCCCCGAGGCCGCGCCCGGCGAGGGCCCGCGAGGCCGCCCGCGGGCGGTGGAGAACCAGTACTCCTTCTACTAGCCTGGCGCCGGGCCCGCGGCCACCCGGACCCGCCTGCGACCGCAGCGTCCGCCAGCCCAGCGGACCCTCTCGGCCCCAGTCCAGCGCTGGGTGAGAAAAGCGAAGCTCTTCAATGAAGACATAAATGTTATTAAAGAGCCTGTTTTAGGGACTGCACCCGGCTTTCCTGTCGTCCTTTCTGCTGCCCTGGCCATGAGCACGGCTCCTAGGACTGCAGGGGAGAAGGGGATACCATACATGGGACCCCCTGTCGAGCCCGCCTGGCCCCTGCCCAGCCCCCATCCAGCTCTGTCTTAGGGGATCCAGCTCCCCACCGGCAAAGAGACAACAGGCAATACCTGAATGAGGCACAGAGATAGTCTCTGGGCCAAAGAGCAGGGCTCAGGGAGACTGGCGAGGGGGTTTTATTTATTTTTTCTTTATTGATTTTAGAGAGAGAGGAAGGGAAAGTGAAAGAGTGATAGAAACATCGATGAGAGAGAACATGGATTGGCCGCCTGCTGCATGGTCCCCACTGGGGATCGGGCCCACAACCTGGGCATGTGCCCTGAGGGGGAATCCAACCAGGGACTCTCAGTGCATGGGTCGATGCTCAACCACTGAGCCTCACCTGCTGGGCTGGGGAGGGGTTTAGAGTGGAGCTGTGAGAGATTGGGAGAGGGGTGACCTGAGCAGAGGCAAGAATGAAGGGTGGCAGAGGGTAGGGGAAGGAGGGTTGGGGGTCCCAGGGCTAGGGGAGGTACAGGGTGAAGAATGGGGAGGAGGGACAAGTCTAGGGCCTTGAATGCCAGGATGAGGACATGGACCCTGGCTAGAAGACAATAAGAGTGTCCTGCAGGTCAGTGGGGTGGTAGAGCAGGATTTCTGCACATGAGCCCATTGGGGGATAGAGCAGTGGAAAGGCAGGTTTCCCATCTTTGACCTAGATTCAAACTTGGAAGTGGCCTAGAGGGCCCTCCCGCCCCCACCTTTACCCCTATCACTAACCACTGCTTCCCTGCAGGTAGAGGCTCAGGCGGGCTCCGGTGTCCCAGGCCCTGGAGACACCGCCTGCTCAAGGTCCCAGCTCTCCAGCCAGCAGGTAGTGCTCCCTCTGAGGGGGATCTCACTCCTGCTGAGCCAAAGTGCACCTCCCCTTTCCCTAATTCAAACTCTGCCTCCCCACCTGGGGCCACAGACCCATGGTTCCCCTGGCCAGGAATGAGTGTCCTTGCAGAGCCTGCGTCTGTGATGTGCATTTCAGACTCCAGACAGCTGATCCTCCCAGGACTGCAACTGGGCACCCATGTGCCCTTCTCCCATGTGAGGGCACTAGCACCCTTGGTGGTCTCCCAGGGCTTTGCTGCTCCAGTTACTCAGATCTGACTCACAAAATGACCGGAGAAGGAGGGTACAAGGCCAGCACTCCAGAGAGCAGCCTGTACCTCGGCTTCCGGCATTTCCAACCGTGTGGCTGGAGCCCCTCTGTGCCGTTGCCCCTTTGCCTTGGTGATTCAGGGTCTATGTCAGGCCAAGTGCAAGCCCCTCTCCCGCCCTGATAGGAGTAGAGGGGGGTCTGGAGTGAGGCTCAGTCTGTGCAGAGGCTGGGCGGCCAGTGAAAGTTCTGTTTGGCTGCCTCTGCTCTCAACCAGCTGCACTCCTAAACATGACTGAGCTGCAGACATCACCCCCAAACAAACTGAAGGCTTCATCCTTTCTCCCTTAGTGGATTTGCCCCCTTGGAAGGTTTCAGGGTGGCTTCAGGGGTGGGGTTAACACTTGACACACAGAGTGTGTCATCATTCAGACCCTACCATCCCTCCCTCCTGACAGCCAGCCACTATGGAGGTCACTTTATCTGCTAAGCACCCAAAGCAGGAATCTAGGCATGGAAGTAGGCGAGGCACTGACAGAGGTCACTTTGCTGAATGGGAGTCCAGAGTACAAGAACCTTGGAGAGGGTCTGCCCAACCCTAAGGGTGGCAGTCAGGCACTGTTCCTAAGGCGTTCCCAGGTTAAAATGACAGTCACCACCCAAGCTCTCCCAAGGGATGTTGCACTAAGACCCAGCAGCAGGTGGTCAAGTGAAAAGCGTGCTCTCTCCAATGAGGTCCCATAATGAAACCCTCAGGCCTGTCACTCAAAGTGGTGCTTCCAGAAAGCCAGACTCAGTAGGCATTTCAGGTGTCTGCTGAGTGCCAGGCCAGACTGTGGGGCAGCTGGGCAGGCAGCCAGGCAGGTCCATCACAGTGTGATGGGCAGCCACAGAGGGTGGGGTCTGCAGATACAAGGGGCAGGGAGTGGGACATGAGACCAGCAAGGCTGAAAGGGCTTTGAGTGTCAGACCAGAACTGAGGGCTTTACGGAGTCAGAGCCAGTTTGAAACGCGAGCTGAAATGGGATTTTGTGTTTTAGACAGATAACCTGGGGCCAGGGCTAGCGGGGGTGGGGAGGGAGGATGGGTTGGAAGGGAGAAAAATGAGGCCTGGGATCCAGGGAGGCTGCGGTGTGTCTGGGGGTGGGGCGAGGAGCTGGGCTGAGGCAGAAGAGAACAGTGATGGAGGAAAGATCATCCCTAGGCTGATGGGAGGCGGAGAGGGGACAGATGGGGGATCCCCGACTTGAGGCTTGGAGGACAGTATGACCCCTGCTGGACCCTCTTGGCTAGCTGCACCGGAGAAGGGCTGTGGAATTCACGCCCACACCTAGGAGAGAAGGAATAGACATCTTGCTGTCTCCAGCAAGGGACTCCCAGGGACTGTCAGTCTCTCTAGCCTGGGACCACACCACCCAACACTTTGCTGTCAGTAAGAGATGGGGTTAGGTGTCCCCTAACCGAGCCACGGAAGGGTGATTTTGGTTACCCAAAGTCTCTAAGATGAAGAGCTCAGGGCCATGGAGAGGTAAGTCGCTGCCATTGGCACTCTGCTGGGAGGGGCCCTCGACCTGGAAGTCCAGTCAGGCCAGGTCTGGGCCCGTGAGCTTGACCAAGAGCGGCCTGGTCTCAGAGTAAACCGAGGGTGCAGAGTCTCCCTGGGAGGGCGCCCGGGCCGGACCACATGAATGAGTTTCCCATCTTCGGCCCACCAGCCAGACCCAGAAATGGGAAAATGCTCTGCGTCCTGTTTCCAGACCTGAAGCTGAACTTGCTCCAAGAAGGGCATTGCCATGGGAATGGAGGTGTGTGTGCTGGGGAGGGCAGGGCGTCCACACCTGAGTCTGCCCCATCGAAATGCAAAGCCAGGTACTTTAGAGGCCTGAAGGTGAACATTCCTTCAGAAAGGGAATCAATGTAGCAGCAATGATTCAAATAAACAATTTCAAATAAAAGATACAATTAGTTTCCTCTGGCAAGTGCTCCTAACTCAAGCAAGTCTGCGACCCTTTGGAGTAGAAGTAAAATTCCTGGGACCTGGAGGGGTTCTTATACGCTTGGTATTAAGAGACAGTGAACAGTGCACTCATGCAGATTCGGAGTAATAAAGCTCAGTCATGCTCCCCAAATCCTTTCACACTGGGGGGAGGGGTGCGTCTGGCTGAGACCGCCGTGCTGTGGGTGGGAGGTGGCTGCAGTGGCCTCCGGCAGAAGGGGTTCTTAGTCTCTTGTGTGCCTCAGATCTCTTGGCAGTCTGGTGAAGCTTAGGGACACCCCACACTCCGAATAATGTTTTAAAACTCATGATGTAAAATACATTAACTTGCAAAGGAAACCACTGAAAGTCAGTCAAAATATTAAATATAATAAACAGTAATTAGATTTTCAGACTTGTGATGTAATGTATATGCTTCTTTATTAACACTTTAAATAGCAGCAGCTCTAATAACTAGTATACGTACTTTCAAAGGATGATGAGTGCAGGTAACACTTCACCGTTTCTGCAACATCCAAGATGCGATGTGAAAATATCCCTGATTTCTACTCATGGCAAAGTGACAGATGCTTCTAATACTGCTGTGGTTTCTCCTTAAGTGAAAGAAATACAATTTTTAAAAAATCCTCATCTGAGGGTATTTTTCTATTTATCTTCAGATAGAGTGGGAGGGAGGGAGGGAGAGAGAAACATTGATGTGAGAGGGACACATCAACTGGCTGCCCCCCACACGACCGTGATCAGGGCCGGGGACAAAGCATAACTGAGGCACGTGCCCTTGACTGGAATCGAGCCCATGACTCATTGGTCAGCGGGCCGATGCTCTAACCGCTGAGTCAAACCAGCCAGGGCAGAAATACAATTTTTAGAGGTTAATTAAAATTAGGGTAGAATTGTATTCCCATTCAAGTTCATGGACTTAGTGAATGGTTTATCCATGAAATCTCAGGACCCCAGGTTAACAACCCTGCTGTAAAGAGTGAAGACAGATTACATGTATTGGAACAAGAATGTTCAGAAATGGCAGAGACAAGGGTGTGATAAGAAATTGGATGCCCCCCATCCAAAAGCCTTCAGCTGGGCCCCAACCTGACAGTCAGCTTGCAGCATAAATTAACCTCCTGATCTACTTTAATGTAATCAAGAATATTGATCATGTTAAACTGCACAAGTTCCCAGGTCTTAGCAGTGAGAGGAGGGTTGTATGGTTCTGGAAAATTCTCTATAACTGAACTTATTCTCCCTGTTTTGTATCAGATGGAGAGAACTAATTAAAAGAAAAAAAAAAATGAAAGGTTTTATGCCATGTAGATTTATGCATTATAACTTTCAACTTGTAGCTTTGTCAGTTGGAAAGATGTTTTATAACTTAATTGAGATTGAAGTATGGTGCTTGGGAGCTTTAAAGAACACTATGAAATTCACAGAGACTGAAAGCAGATTACAGGTCACCAGGGGCTCCAGGGAGGGGAAGTGGGGAGTTACTGCTTAATGGGTACAGCATTTCTATGTGGGGTGATAAAAAGAGTTTGGAAATAGATATGGTGATGGTTGCATAAAATTGTGACTATAATTAATGCCACTGAATTATACACTTAAAAAGTGGCTAAAATGGCCCTGGCTGGTTTGGCTCAGTGGTTGGAGCGTTGG